ACATAACACATAATGTATTTTTATTTTTACAAATGATTACAGTATACCTCTATAAATAGAGGGGTTATTTATAGGGGTGGAGAAATGTGTTGAGAATGTATGACGTTTGCGCGGAGCCTTTGTTCCCGTATGATTTGAGATTGCAAATTGATCGAGGTGTGGGACACGGTTGCAGTAGCAGGAAAAGAACTTTTATATCGTTGAACGGTGATTTTTAAACAGCAAGATACTTTTATTTCACTGTTCATCTTTGACACTTGAATGCACACATTGTTGCAGCCTCTATTCTCGAATGCAACAACGATGGAAGCACTATTTCGAATGTGAAACATTGTTGTACGCGCTACATTTGACTGCAACATTGCTTGAAGCGTTATATTTGAACGCAAACATTGTTGGAATCTCTATTTCTGATTGCAAGATTATTAGAGGCGTTATTTCGAACGCAAACATTATTACAAGAACTACGCTTGAATGTAACATTGTTAAAAGCGTCATTCTCGCTTGTAACATCGTTAACTCGATATTTTTGAATGCACATTGTTGCAAACGCGTTATCGGGGTTTGCAACTTTGTTGTCGCGAAACATTGCACATCGTTGCACGACGCGCCCGTTTTGCAACAATGTGCAATTTTCGGGAGCGATTCGCGCAACAAAGTTGCAACTCTCCTAAATAATGATTTAGATGGTAGTTTATCATTATTGGAAGTCTTAAATAGAATTATTGCATGCTTTAACCTAATAAAATAGCTTAAATTGTTAATTTCGTATTGAATTAACAATTGCATGCAGCAGGCATTTTACATTTAACATTTATTATAAATATTTCATTCGGTTAACATTACTTGTAGGGAGTAGATAGTGAAATAAAGTTTAAACTTTACTTTGTATTTCATTCGGTTAACATTACTTGTAGCGAGTAGATAGTGAACTAAAGTTTAAACTTTACTTTGAAGTATTTTAATTGTAGAGTAACTAGTGTTCCTTGTTAAATAACAATTTAGATGGTTGTTTATAACTGTTGCAAGTGTTAAATAAAATTATCGTAAGCTTTACCTTAATAGAACTGCTTAACATGTTAATTTCGCACTGAATTAACCAGTGAATTCGGTAGATTCGTCGGAAATTGTTTATAACTTTTATTAACAATTAGTAAAATTAATGTTTTTCTTGTATAAATTACAGGTGGACCTTACAGAGCACCATCAGAAGCAAGGAAAGGTCTTGAACATCAGGAAAAATGAAGAAATGCAATTATTTATGAACAAATCAATTATTTATTGTAAAATTATTGTCCAAAATGTATATTACAAAAGGTTACAATATACCAGCATTGTTTTACAACATTTTACAGTCTATTT